ACTCGTGTAACATGGAATATAATATAGTCACTATTCATGCACACTTCTCCCTACTCGTGTAACATGGAATATAATATAGTCACTATTCATGCACACTTCTCGCTACTCATGTATCTTGGAATATGATACTGTCACTATTCATGCTACACTTCTCGCTACTCATGTATCTTGGAATATAATATAGTCACTATTCAGGCACACTTCTCGCTACTCATGTATCTTGGAATAGGATATAGTCACTATTCATGCACACTTCTCGCTACTCATGGAATATAATATAGTCACTATTCAGGCACACTTCTCGCTACTCATGTATCTTGGAATATGATACTGTCACTATTCATGCACACTTCTCGCTACTCATGTATCTTGGAATAGGATATAGTCACTCAAATCAGTGCTCCACTCTCGTTAGTTGATTCTATACACACCTGGACTCGGCTCTACTCTCTCTACTTGATGGAGAACATTCCTTGCTACTCGATAATTTACTGTAACAAAAATCATAACTAAATCTAGGTGTCCATGATCTGACGTATATTTTACAGATATTTTATGTGGTGTAAAAACTCCCTTTTAATTAAAAGATATGTGGTGTCACTCTTAGTAAATCGTTGTACAGCATGGAATCCATACGGAATAGGAGGTTGAAAGCTCGCATTTCAAAACCTCTTATCAATGGATAGATTTATGTTGGGCCTAGATGGCAGCACTTGACGAGTTTGTTTAAAGTCACAAAACAAAACAAGAAGAATAAATCACTCTACCATGGGGATGAAAGTGAACCTTGTTGACCGAAGTTGACCCTAAGTTGAAGCTCTTCTCAAGTTCTTGCTGACGAAGGTTCCAAACTTTCACATAACCAACGGCATCACCTGAAGCCAGCTTATCTCCCTGTTTGCAAAAAATAAGGTTTAACTGAAACTCTCCAGAACGTGTGCATAACGCTTTCAGAGCCCTATAGGTAATTATCACATAGATTAATAACGTTCGATTAAGGCACTAATTACTAAAAGGTCAGATTGGTTCAGAATTCTAACTTATATTTATACATTTCGTAAAAGTTAGTACAGTCTCAACTCATAACGAACCAATTTTGTATAATCTAAATAAATGAAATAAAGAAAATATTAGGGATGCGTTTATGTGATATGAAGACTTGCATTAGAAAATATATGGTCCTTTGACAGTAATAAAACAATACCTGAATATTGAAATTTGCACTGTTCACAGCACCGCTATGTCCATAGAAAGTTTTAACACGCAGTCTCTGAGGAAACCAATAAAACTAGTTAGTCCTGATAGAATAAGGTTTAAATATAACAGTTACTTTACAAATTACCAGTTACAGTTAATGATGTTATCTTAGAGTTTACAAATTACCAGTTACAACTAATGATGTTATCTGAGAGTCTACAAATTACCAGTTACAGTTAATGATGTTATCTGAGAGTCTACAAACTACTAGTTACAGTTAATGATGTTATCTGAGTCTACAAATTACCAGTTACAGTTAATGATGTTATCCGAGAGTCTACAAATTACCAGTTACAGTTAATGATGTTATCCGAGAGTCTACAAATTACCAGTTACAGTTAATGATGTTATCTGAGTCTACAAATTACCAGTTACAGTTAATGATGTTATCTGAGAGTCTACAAATTACCAGTTACAGTTAATGATGTCATCTGAGAGTTTACAAGTTACCAGTTACAGTTAATGATGTTATCTGAGAGTCTACAAACTACCAGTTACAGTTAATGATGTTATCTGAGTCTACAAATTACCAGTTACAGTTAATGATGTTATCCGAGAGTCTACAAATTACCAGTTACAGTTAATGATGTTATCTGAGAGTCTACAAATTACCAGTTACAGTTAATGATGTTATCTGAGGGTTTACAAATTACCAGTTACAGTTAATGATGTTATCCAAGAGTCTACAAATTACCAGTTACAGTT